AAGGAGTCGTTGTTGTCGAGGAAAGATGTCTTGAAGAGAAGAAAAATGTTATGACAAGAAAAGAATGGAAGCAGTCCAGTGCAATTTTTGTTTCAGACCTGGCCATTCACTTCCAGGACAGTTCGAACTGGAAACTGAAAAAGTTCCTGGGAATGGGGTGTCAGCTTTGATAGCCTAACATATTACATCGAGAAATTAGTAGTATTAGTGTGGTATTTGTGAGCGTGTAAGTGTCGGATATTTGTGCTCTCCATTGAACGCTTCGTTCCCTTGTTTTTCTTTCTGAAGGGCGAGGCTGTTTTAGAGAAGAGCTCGGAACTTATTCATTCTGGTGACGTGATCAAGACTTCCAATGGGAGCTCACAAGATCGTGTCATGTTCTTGTTTGATCATCAACTTGTTTATTGTAAAAAGGTGAGAACTAATGATTCATCAAGGCCCAGGGAAACACTTGTGTCACGTTTTCTAAACTAAAAGCAGTCCTTCCTTTTCTGCCAAATCTTCCGCGCGAGTAAAAAATATCGCGGGAAAAAAAATGATATTAGCGCGCCATGCGGAACTCTGGGAGTGAGGCTACAACTTTCCGTATATCCACGCAGCGTGTTCACATCATTTTTTTTCAGGAATAGTTTGACTCGCGCGACAGGCTTCACATGAAAAGAGGGACTGCTCGGAGTCTTCACGTCCTCCGATGCTGAAAATTAATTTCTAAGAAAACTACTTAACAACTTTTTTAAAAAAATTGTGTTTGGCTTATTTTCAGGACATTTTAAAGAAGAATGGTTTGACTTACAAGGGAAGAATTGACATGGATGACTGCTCGGTTGTTTGGTTGAATGACGGAGAAGGTAAAAGGAATGGATCTTGTTTTAGATTGGCTGTCCTTATTAGCTATAGAAGGCTTTCCAAACTAATGTTGTAAAACTAAAATCAAAGGCGCGACAAAAGGCGATCAGAACAAAGCTAATGATCACAAAGGACCCATCCCATATCAAAATATTAACATGTGAGCGTTCCTCAACGTTGTGGAGCAAAACCAATGCAGTCCTGGTTTACTTTTTACTTCTAGTTTAAAGTTGGTCTGTTAAATCCATTTAATCAAACCGAGTTCGCATAAAGGCTTTGCTGAGCTGAAATCCGCCTTTGTTATTGATTTTTTTAGAAACTTTAGACAGATCGCCGCTAAATAACGCGTGGAAAATTTACAACTTTAAAAAAGAAAGATGGTACATTTTCTACACCAAGAAAGCCGCTCAGAAAGAGAAATGGATGAAGGCGTTCAAGGACGAACGACGCAGGGTCAGTGAAGACGCCAAAACAGGTAATTAACTTTATTACTGAATACCTCAGTATTTTCGCAATATATCTCTAACTAATTCCCCCCCCCCCTTCTTCAAGCGTACGACTACTTCTTCCTTCCACTTTTCTTTTTGTTTTTTGTCGTCGAAGTTGTTTTTTTGGGGGAGGGGGAAGAGGGGAGAGGATTGTAAGAGGCAACCTTGGTGGAGGTGTGTCAGGGTTTTTTCTTCTCGAAACACTTCGCCAAATTTTTGTCAAGTTTATTAATTGCAATCCGTGTTAACCTTAGGACCCTTAAGAACGACTAAAATCTAATTTCTCCTCACAAGATCACTTCTGAATTACACATTTAAGTCACGAGAAAAAAGGAAATGATCAGCAACTGAAGAAGCTTTTGATTGTTAAACAAATTCTCCTCGTCAGCACCTGTGGAAATGTACAGAGAACAGTATGGAGAATATTTACACCGATGTTAGGTTGTAAAGGGTTAAACTTTGCCATTCTCGACCATCTTTGTTTCTTTTTCGTTTTATTTCACCTCCTTTAGTTGTTTCTCCACCCCAAAAAAATTTATTTAAAAAGTTTTAGTGTAATGTGTCGTAAATTTTAATGTGAATTGTTGTTGTATGTTTGATCAAATCCTGCCATTCTTTCCGGTGGTCAAAAGGGAGTGGCGTCTTTCATAACAATAATTATTATTTTTGACTAAATTAAGTTTTAATTGTTTGGGTTTAGGTCTTATAATATCACAAAACACCAGAAAAGCTGCCATGACAGCCGCCAAAGCATCCGTCAAACAGAAGAAAGTCAATGGTGAGTTCAGATTTTTTTCTCTCTTTTGAGCCCAGGGGTACACATCGAACAAACAAGGTTCGAGCCCTGGCCGCGGTGCATAATGTTTTTGGTATGACCAGCACTCTTACAGTGCCAAGCTTCACCCAGAGAAAATAATTATTGGTTGTAAATTATGAAGAAAGCTTGGGAAGGAACTGTAGGGTAAAAGGGTAGGGTAGAACAGTGGTGGATAATCGATCCCAAGCTTAACTGTAAATTTGCTTCATGGTACAGAAACCAGATTCCTAGTTAGCCGAGGGGCAGGTAGCGCTGTTTCCCCCCCCCTCCTTAGGAAAATGTTTCAGCCATTTTATTAAATGTTGTCTTCGTGGAGTGTTGGTCAGATTTGGTTTGTTTCATTGCCCTTCTCAGTCGAAAATTTCCAGCTATGACCTTGGAAACCTGGTTTAAAGAGACTTGGTTGATTTAAAGAGACTAAGATATTACACTCAATTTGTAGGGAAGAAAGAAAAACCGTTCTTGAAGTCACAGTCCACGACAGAAATAAAACCCCCTCCATCACCCACCCTGCGTTTACCAGATCCGGTATCAAGCGCCGATCTCAGAGAGGAAGACGAAGAAGGGGATTCCTTCGGAAACAGAACATCTGTTATAAGAAGAAGCTTTGGTTTACGAGGCTCGAAAAAGAGCAAAGAGAAACGTTTGAGTTCGGTCTATTAACGAGGCAAGTCCAGTGTTCTTCTGTAGTCTTAGACCCCTTATCTGTGAATTTGACCGCGATTGAGGACAGGACATGACGGAGGACATGACGGAGGACATCACTTTCTGGGCGTTGAGTCAGTTCGTGAAGGATTGGAAACGATATTTCAGTTCGCATCGCAAATAAGTGCCTGTTTCTGTGCAACTGAGAGTGATTTTGTGACTGGTTCGATGTGTGCGCGTCATTTATGAGTGGACGAGAATGATCTGAACACCTCGGATTCCGAAACATGGTTTGAACAGGAGTTCGTAAAAAACTCTACCAACTAGTTGAATGGACCGGGTCTGGCTGTGTGTGAGGAGCTTGATGAATAATACTTCATAACGTCTTTACGTTTATGTAACCAGAAGTCAAATAAGAAATTTAGCACGGAGAGAGGATACTTCTAAGATACGTGCGAAAGTTGTGACGATTTTGTCACTTCCGCTGAGGTCAAGCGTTAGAAGATTTCCCTGTCAGGAATTACACAAGGGTCAGAGGGCATTCAGCAGCATACTTTGCATGCTCGTTCCTAGAACAGCGCGGAACCGTATTTGACAGAATGAATGACTCTGATCGAGCCAGACCTATCCTGACCCGTTTGGCGGGTGAAGCAAACTGTACCGAAATAACCAAATTGGAGGCGAGTTTATGCGACTTTCTGGATTAGTGGCGCCGGCGTCAACTAGGGATCATGGCCAACTGTTCGCAGGCGATGTATCACCCTGATCCACTAGCTGCTATTTAAATCTTTTATACATAATACGAATGATGGATTATTTTTTATTAGATTTAAATTTATTTCAGCATCTGGAAGGATAATACTTAATCGATATTTCCTCTCACTTACTTACTTTCGGTTTTAGCGAATAAAGTGGGCGTGGCGTTTAATCAAAGCCTTAATCGAGTTATGACGACAAAAGGTCACAAATTTTTTATCAGTAATTCAAGTAGATATAATTTTTCTAAGACCCGGCTTTTAAGAGTGATATCTTCCATGACAAAGCAAATGTTTTCAGCTTAATTTATTAAATTTGTATGTTTTATTCTGAAGTTATAAACGGAGGGGGCGCGGTTAACATGGTTTCATAAGGCGACCAGGGCCAAATTTAATTCGGTCCCAGCTCCCTTTGTCAGCCTTGGCTGCGGGGAGGTAGAAGGAAGAGTCATCTTATAAATTTGTAATCAGTTAAAAAAGACAATAATACCGTTGAGAATCAAAGAAGATGAAAAGAGAACAATTGATAGAAGTCTCAAACCGTGTACACTAAGGAAATCCATTTGGAGATATTTTATATTCCGTGTTGTATAGGATCTGTTTATAAGAACTTAATAAAAGATATATTTTATATTGTCTATTTGTCTTAAGTGATTCCCAAACGCTTTCGTTTACTACGAGTGTGATGGGGCGGACGCAGACATCCATCGAATCTAACAACGCCGCATCGGAGAAATGTTTTATATTAACGGAACCTCCAAGCGTCCATCGAATCTCAATTTGTTTATTAAACTTGAAAGCTCGTAAAAACTGAAATACAATAAACTAAAATGAGCCATTACCATACAATATATATACTAATCGAAATGTCCTGCACTCGAACACGCGAGGTGTTCCCTCGCCTCCGTTTCAGCTGAGGGGGGGGGGGGAGGGGAGAGGAGGGAAGGGTACGGCTACAAGTAGGTTAGAGGTAAGGGGTAAGGGGAAGAAGTGGGAGGGGGAAGGTATCTGTGGGCTGGAGGATGGTTACATATGTCGGTGTACCGACCCTCTGACCCCATTTTTGACAAACGTATTTCATTCTGCTACCCTTTTTGATTCAGTAATTGTTGTAGGTTGTCGTATATCGACCTGTAGGAGGTGAACTGTGCCATAACCACCTGAAACATGCATGTAGAAGAAGGAACGCGTGCGAGCGAACGAGTGCTTTTCCAAGCCGCGGTTTGTCTACCAAGGCGGAGGTAATCTCTGTTAGCCTCAAAAAATCACAAAATTTATCGTTGTTTGAACTGAAAATTGATTGCAAATGCATCCAAAACAAAACAAGGAACAGAAGAGACAATCCAACGAGGCAGTGACGAAGAAGGATTGCTGAATTCTAAGAAGGAAGAAGTCCTGGGAACTAGTATTATCCTAGCGAGGTAAACAGTGGCAAGCCTGGGGCCGACGATTCCTCAACATGGCGGTCGAAGAGCACGAGGAAGATGAGGAGTCGAAGAAAGATTGTCAACAAAAACAGCCTGTTAAGCTCAGGTATAGTAATTTGAGTTGATAACACAGAAGAAGTTATCTTCAACTTAAACTTATCTTATTTTTTCTTTCTTTTTTTTTTCGATTTTGCGAAAGCCTAAGTTGTTTCGCGGTGAAGCTAAGCTTGAAGGTTGCAAATAGATAGATAGACCTCCCATTCGTAGCTTTCGTAATTTTCTTCAGGAGATAAATGTACCCATACCAGAAAGTTGTTTAACTGTTGAATTAATCCGAAACACAACACTTTTTCGATACAATCTTTCCTTGCACCAGAAGGTTGGAAACACTTGAATGAATTTTATTTGACCCAAGGTTAAATACAAGTTCGATTTCCATATTTCGATTCTTTACTCGAAAGCCACAAACAGTTTAGAAGGCTTGTCAAAAAGGAGAGACGGCGCCAGAAAAGACAAGAAGCAGCTAAGAAGAGAGAACAGGTGGAACTTGAAGGTAAAATTAAACTTAGCACTGGTCATAGAGCACACTAACAAAACAAAACTGCTAACAATTAAGAAACTGCTCGTTGACCCGCACGCTAAGAGTTGTTTGTGGTATACTTACAATTATTAAACCATGTTTTTCAGTTTGTCAGTTTTCAGTTTTTATGGCTAGACACTTTCATTTTGAAGTTATGACCCTCTTCCTTGTTTTATACAGAAAAGTGGAGAATAGAAAATGATCCCATATTAAGGTGAGTTGCAGGTTCATTATATTGTTAGCATAGTAGCAGAAAGATTAACAGGATACAGATATAATTCAGCAACTCTCTTCACCTTCTGGTCTTGGTGTCATGCCATATTTGTTTAGAGTTTTTCATAATTATGGCAATTGACTTTTATGATGAACCCCTTGAACTGCTAAGATCTGATTGTTAATTCTCCCCTCCAGTTGCTACACCTTTCATTGTAAATTAGTTATGAGAATGTGGTATTAGATCAAGATAACAACTTGTACCTGATCAGTCTGAGTATTCTCATTACCAGTTTGCTAGATAATGTAAGGATATTATAGGAAGAATTGCATGTTATTCACTTCTGGGAGTTAAAGGTTAAACCCTCTCAATCCCAGATGTGAATTGCTCTTTTCATTATCAGTACATGTTCAAGCAGAATAGTGATAGAGTGAAATGAAGATATCAATCAACTCTCAAAGTTAAATCTATAAGAAACAAATGACAGACAGTACATAGAATCAGAGTGGAGCAGGGGAGATCAGTTTTTTAGTTCCTTTTTGCTGTAAGCAGATATGTTTTGTTTAAGCCCTTTTGATCCCTTAAGGGTGACTAGCATTTAATTTCTCCTAACCATATCATCCTTGAATCAAACATAAAGGGACAAGGATGAAGGAAATTATCACCAGCTAAAGAAGCTGTTGATTGTTAAACAAATTCTCCTTGTCAGTACCTTAAGAAAGTTATGGAGAACAGTATGGAGAATGTGTATACTGATGTTAATTTTAAAGTTAGTAATAAAGCACCCACAATGATTTTATATCAGGGCTAAGGTAGAGGCAAAGGAAAGAGCGGAAAAGAAGAGATTGTTGGAAGAAGAAGAGGAAAGGTGATTGGCATGAAACTTTCAAATTTGTGTTATTTGTTATTTGTGTTATTTGTTTGCTGACCGTCATTTATGTACATCTACTTTGTTAAAGAAAAACTCAGCATCGCTTGTGGTTGGAAAGGGAAGCTATTGCACAAGAAAGATTCAGAAAGAAAAAAGAGGATGAAGACAGAAAGTTGAGAGAAAAATTGGAACAAGAGGTGTGTACTCAGATAATGTATAATGTTTGGACAGCCGACCTTCATCAAAGCCATCAGCATATTCACTTAATTTCAGTCTTAATAGCATTGAAATCTTGAATGCTATTGGCCATTACAGTGTTCTCCCTTATTTTTGGCATGTTAGATAAAAGAAATTTCCAAACTTGTAGGATAATCCTTTTACCTGTTGAACTTTCAAGAATTCCAAGCAATTGTAGGCAGTAATAATAGACCTGTACTACAGGCAGTAGATTTTATTGATTACAGCCCGAAAAGGAGAACACCACATTATCTCATTTTCATCTTAAAGGGAAAAGATTTTCTGTAATTGTGGCTGATGTTTTCCATTGCTAACTTTAACTGTTTTTTTTTTGCCAATGATGTAGGAAAGAATCAAGAGAGAGTGGGAAGAGGAACAGAAAAGGGAGAAGGACAAGGAAGAAAGGAAACAACAGGAAATCAAAGAGAAAGAGGTGATATCACTGTTGATGGATTTGGTTATTCACTGAACGTATCCCAACACAGAGTCAAGTTGTTCTTATTGATTCCTTTTAAATGTCAAATAAATAATTGATAATTGCAATCTCTCTGTTAACCCTTCAAACCCCAAAAGTGGTCTACGTGTAACCTCTCATGCATGCAATGTTTATACATTATCCAGCAAACTAGTGATCAGAATTAACAGATAAACGCATCAATGAGAGAGTATTTTGTAGATGTAATATCAAATTCTCTTAACATATCTATCTTAATCTGCCAAGGACATGTACACTAGCTGAATGGGATGATATCATTACACTTTTTTTAACCAGATCTTGAAAAGCCCCTCTCTTTTTTAAGTTATCACCCTTCCCTACTTAATTCACTCACTCCCTACAAGAATGACACTTGTAATATAGTATGTGCTTCTATTGGGCTAGAAACTGTTACAGCTTCCATCTTCACCTAGGGATTCAAGAGGGTAGATAAGAACAGAAAAGGTTGTCTGATGATCAATTTTTTGGCAAAGATAACTCTGTTTATAACTCTGGTGTCAAACAACTTCTCGCTCTGTATAAAACTCAGATACGTAATTAGATGAATTATTCCAACACAATATATAAAATGTATTGTAAATGTCATAAATATTCAAAATTAAGTAATACCTGATGATCCTTAACAAATGTGGAATAACATCAGCCAAGTTCATGAGCAAGCTGCTGTGGCTTAACGTGTGGGGCCTATCACATCAAAGAATATTTGTATCTTTTAAAAGATAGTAGCTTCAGATAAATTAGAAGAAATATACTTCATAGATTACGTGTACCTATTATACTGAGTGTAGCTGACTGTAGCATTTTTGAAGAATTGTGTTAGCAGGGTTGTCATTATAGGCTGGTAGGCTGTAGACAACCACAGGCTATCAGACCATTTTGCACTGGCTACTTTGTGTGTTGTGTTCAAAGACAGAACAAAAGTATTTTTGAAATGATTCTACACCAATGTGTGGCTTAAAAAGAAATTACCCAGATGTGTTCCATAATGCTGGAAATCATGTCCAAGAGAGTTTCAAATTTCAAATTTCTTATGGGAGCTTGGCCTTAGACCCTGCAAGGAGGGTGTGTTGCAAAGTTGATCATTTGATGGTTGAAATGAATTTACTCTGGAAACATCATCATGATCAGTATTTAGCCAACTTTTTTTCCTTTTATTCAAGGTTGCTGTAAGCAAGTTGCAAATTCTAAATATGCCTATAAGAACATTATTATTATTATTTTTATTATTGTTATGTATGATATAGTAAAGGGATTGTATTCATCCAATTTTGCACACATTATTGCATTTTTTTTAGAATTCAATTTCTTCAATGTTTATGAAATTTTGATACTCACCAACAAGAAGGCTAAACAACCTTTTCATGTTACTGTTGACTGGTCATACTACTTGTTGATGCAGTAGTTACTGACAGATACTGTGATAATATTTTCTGTTGTATTTTTTATGATTATTTAGAATAACCTTTAAGATATTTGAAAAAGGGGAACACAGTTCAGTAAACTGTTGGCCACATCAGTGGCTATTTTTTTTTAATGGTATGTGAATTATCAGGAGAATCTTAACCTTCTCTTAAGAAACATGTTTGGAATGGTCTTTCCAATAGGATGCCTTATTCAGGGAGTTGGACAAACCATCAACTTCTGAGGTAAATAAACATGACAGACAAGTGTGAATTTATAATGGATAGTTATCACAATTAGTCTTGTGTATTGTATTACATGATTATGTCACCTTACCAAATCAACCACCAAAAAAGTTGTGGTTTTAAATACAAGAGTCTCAATAAAAGCTGATTACCAGCAGCCCACTGCTGCATATATTACGTCTTCCACTTACCACTGTCTGCTAAGCCTGTGAGCACTTCTTTTGGAAGTTCAGAAGGCTAGAAATTACATTTTAAGCTTCTAAATTACAATTTTGGGGGGGGGACCTATTACACCATTGGCAGCCACTTATGGAAAAAGTTATTGAAATCTCAGAGATACATGTAGGTGACAGAAATAGAAAGAGTAGACACATTGACTAGATTTCCGGTTTCCAGTTTCTAGACCTTTCTCATGAAGTGTGAGAGTTACATTGTATGACATTGTTAGACTTTGAAAATGATGAAATCCATAAAAAAATTGTGCTAAGGAAAAATGTTTTGCAGGAAATTTTTAACAATTATAATAAAAGAACGATTTTGCAGTTCACTTTTATTGGATTTTATCGTATCACTAACATTTTTATCATGTGCCATTAGGTCAAGTTACATAGGTATATAAAGGGCAAAATTTACTCTCCTTCGGAAAACCGGAAGTCTATTGGTAAAATTGGAAAAATCTACCAGAAGTGCTAATGACTGTTCATTTTTTTTTCTCTATGACTTTAGAGTAATGGTCCTTGGCATAATCCTCTGGCACCACGTTCGGGTGACAGTAAATCCTACGGCACAGAACAAGTGAGTGAAGAAGTAAATGCTGAATCAATCAAAAATTACTGAAGGATTCCGATTTTTACACCTATCTACAAATTTGTTAACAGCTAAAAAAGAATTAAATATTCTAGCGAAGAAACCCAGTAGAAGCTAAAAATTTAAACAAAATTTAGCTGTTGTTTAACAAAACCGCGTTCAACTGTCTTCAGCTGAGTCTTTTATCTGAACTTAAATTTTTGTGAACAGTGTCAAGAGGGCCGAAAGCTGATAGTGGAAGGACATTTGTTTAATGAAAACAACCCTCTTAGAGAATACTTAAGGCCCTCTGCTTGCGTAAAACCGCGGTTTGGGTTAGACCTCGTGTAAATAACTGGCCCTCACTGACGGAGATAAGATGATCAGTGTGATGTGAAGCGTCCGCCAAGTTACAATGCTTTTAGTTTATTTTGACTGTTTTTTGTAGGATACAGTGAACTGTTCATTTTATCTGAAATAACCGGCCCTCACTGACGGAGATAAGATGATCAGTGTGATGTGAAGCGTCCGCAAAGTTACAATGCTTTTTGTTTATTTTGACTCTGTTTTTTGTAGGATACAGTGAATTGTTCATTTTATCTGAAATAACCGGCCCTCACTGACGGAGATAAGATGACCAGTGTGATGTGAAGCGTCCGCAAAGTTACAATGCTTTTTGTTTATTTTGAGTCTGTTTTTTGTAGGATACAGTGAATTGTTCATTTTATCTGAAGACGGGAGCCTGTAGATTCGGAGAAAGGTGAGAAAGGAGGGACTGGTTATTATTTATCATGGGGGAGGGGGGGAAGGGGGGACACGGAGGATTTTCATTGTGTCACGATAAGATTTGCATGATGATCCCCCCGTAAGGATCTGTAATATTCTTATGATACCCCCCACCCCCCTCCCCCTCATGGATGCAATACTTGTCTCATGCACGAAGGCTCCCTTTATTAAGTCCGGTTTTGCGGCCAATGTACCTCTACCGTCACCCGGTTATACTTCAAAACTTGTCTCTGAGCTTATTATTATGGTGGAGATGGTATTTATGAAAATGCAAGTAATTTTGAATTGAAGTTATAGCGCTCTTTGAATGAGTGTCGTTAAACCTAAACCAAAGCAATTACGACAGCCAATCAAATTTTCACAAGAGCCAATGAGAACTCTCAGGAAAAACAAACAAACTGCCAGAAACGCGGGAAAAACGCGACCAAGTCGCAGTTGGTTTTAGTTTTGAATCTGATTGGATCAGAAAGTGGCGCGAGTTCTCTGGGCCAATCACACAGCGAAGTGAAGCAAAAACAATGCAATCCCGGATACCCTCGACACTCAGTTGAAAATTGCTCACACTCTATCGTCATTCACATTTCTTGACCAATTTCTGATATCCATTTGTCCATTCAGGTGTTCCAGGCACCACCCTCGACCCAACTCCAGTGTAACTCTAATGATTCCTGGCATGTACAACGACATTCGTCTGTCTCAATCCATGCTTGACGAGGCTGACCAAGATACAAGTTTAGAGGTGCGTTCTGCTCCTGGTAAATATGCATGGCATATTCATTCGCTCCGTTCCTGCTTTCACGCTGTGTAATTGATAGAAACACAAGGTCTAGGGGCACTGGCAAAAATTTACTTCAACAAATTGTAAACTGCTCAATGCAGTCTGGCCAAAGTCCCCCACAAAGTGTAAATTAACTCGGGATACCTTTCAAGGAGATGAGTTAATAGAAAACTACTCTTGTCATGAACATTAAAATAATATTTGTTTAATTTCCAGTACGACGAAAGGGATACTTTTGAAAGTTTCAAGCAGTTTTACCAAGACACTTTGCCGGAGTTTAGAAAGGCTGGCACTGTTGTACAATTTAAGGTAAAAATTGCTGTGCTACTTATAGTTTGGTTGAACTCAAATCAACGTTGTAACATTGGCCAATCACAGGAAAGACCTTCAGTGTAATAAACCAATAGGTCATATGTATGTTTACATCTAAATTTCGCCCCCAAACCTCGTTTACAAGGTGCGGACTGGTGGATAAGAGCAACAGCTGACGTCAAAAGCTGACTTTTATTTAAACAAAGGGGATAAATTTCTGCTGCGTCGGTGGGAGAGTTAAAAAAGGTAATTTGGTATTATCAACTGAGTTGACAACGTAAATTGGCCACTGTAAAGAGCTTTAAAACTGACGTTTCGAGCGTTAGCCCTTCGTCAGAGGAAATGCGATACGATATTTGACTGGTTGATTAGATGACGTAAGGGTCCTGAACCAATCACAAATCGTGAGAAATTATCATGAAAGGTCGACATTCACTTGGAAATCACTCTCGATTTTGTTGGCGTGATTGAAAAGACCTTTCCGGTTTCGTTACAGGTGTGTTGTAACTTCGAGCCTCACTTGAGAGGGAATGTCTACGTGCAGTTTTCTAGGTAGGCTTTCAACTTCATCACTAAATGTTTCTTTCACTCCTTTGTTCGATTGATGATGTCTTTTTTTGGTATTGTTTAGAAAGGCCTTCCTTTGCATTCATTCAACTTTTTTTGGCATTTACGAGTCAGGAATTCGGTTGTGAGTTCTCTGTTTAGTTGATAAAAGAGCCCATCCAAATGAACTAAGTTTACATGGTATCTACCCAAGCACGAGGTTAAGATTGCGGGAGGTTGGCAAGGTTCTTTGTGGCATATTTATGCCAAAAAAACGTAAAATAAAAGTAAGACATCGTTATGTTTTATCACAGGCTTCGTTCAAAATTTACGATTGCTGTTTGGAAATATTTCCGTATAACCCAATACTACTCTAACACAAAGGCGTAATCCTAGGGGCAATCTTTTGTTTTCGGCATTGTTTTATTGGGTTAAAGTCAGTATCTGAGCAACTGCGCACCTACCCCTCCCCTAACCCAAAATTGACCCCAACTTGTTGTAATTTGACCGTTGTTGGGTTAGGGGAGGTGTAGGTGCATTGACATTGACGTTGATCTGAGCAACTGCGCACCTACCCCTCCCCTAACCCCAAATTGACCCTAACTTGTTGCAATTTGACCGTTGTTGGGTTAGGGGAGGTGTAGGTGCGTTGACATTGACATTGACATTGATCCATTTTCTTTATCTGAGAACTGTATGGAAGTATGGGGTTGTGCGGAAATGTTACCGCAGAATGTTTCGTATCCCAATTCTTCAGCTATACTCTGTGACACTTTTTTTATAAAGTCAACGACGGATATGTTTAATTTGCAGTGAAGAGGAATGCGCCAAAGCCTATACAATGTTTAACGCCCGTTGGTATGCATCAAAGCAGCTCTCATGTGAATACTCTCCTGTCACCAAGTGGAAGTCAGCAATATGCGGTATTTTATGAGCAATCTACAGATTAGGCGTCACTTGTTGCGTTTTATATCCAGCGGAGGCAAGTGCGAGACATGTGCAAACGTCCTTACCCCCTGCATGCGACTGCTTCTTGCGGTCTCCTCGCCATCGCCTTGTACTTGCATTCGCATGCGTGAAAAGCGTTAGAAGTGTCACCCATCGTAAATTTTATTTAAAAGCATTTTTATTTTTCCAGTTTTACTTAGATTTTTGGAGTGCTTTCCGATTGAATTTCTTTAAATGCAAGTTAAAGCCTATGACAAACGGTTCATGCAGTATTGTAGCTTAGAAAGTAGGCGGCTCAAAGAAAGCGTTCGATATCGAAGGATTGTACGAGTACAAACTCAGAAGTGCCAGTTTTGCTTTACCAAGCGATCGCCGGCGTAAACTACAGCCGGTGATCACCGCTTTTTAAACATGCAAATTTCGCCGGAGAGTTTTCTAGAACAATCACAGCCTGCAGTCAGGTAAACAAATGCAATCCTGGATTGATTCTAAAAGTTAGTTGTAAATTGCTCAGCCATTCAATCTGTATATTTTATTGATATTCATTTTGTACTTTTTGTAGGACTTTTTGGGCGCAACCGATGTCCAAGAGGCAAAAACTGCAACTTCCTGCATGTGTACCGCAACCCAGGAGATGAGTTCGATTACAGAGAGGACTTGTCACCAACCCGCACCCCATTCAACGGTGGCCGGGCTTCCGAGAGATCCGAGAGAAGCTGGTGGCGAGATCACTGGAGAAGACGCAGAGATCTAAATCGAGACAGATCGCGGGATAGAGACTGGGAACAAGACAGGCACAGAAAGCGATATGATAGGGACCAGAGCCGAGAGAGAGATGATGAACGCGGCCGGCATCGGAGAAGAAGTAGGGAGAGAGAGCGCAGTAAACAAACAGACAAAGAAGAGAACAGAGAACTAAGAACAAAAAGGAGAAGCTACAGTGATGACGACGAAAGCGAAGGGGAAACAGAAAACAATGAAAGGTTTGTACTGCTTCTCTCCCTTTATACCCCAACATCAGTACGTTTATTCTTCATATTGTTCCCTTTACGTTTCCTTTGATACTGACAAGGTGAATTTGTGCTTGAATCCTTTACGAGGTAAACTTTCCTTTCATTTTAGACTGTCTCCTAATGTTGGTGAAAGTAATACAGAAATTGGCAGCAGGGACGGTGAGCAGCAACACGAACTAACAGAGAAGCCAGCAGACCGAAAGCGGAAGCATCATTCATCGGACAAGCACAGCCATCGGCGAAAATCCAAGAAGAAACACAAACACAAAAGCGAACGGAAGAAAAAGAAAAAACGACGCTACAAGAGTGAGAGCGAAACTAGCAGTACAGAAAGCGACAACGATCAGGATGAACATTAGTTTTTCGTTTAAATTATGTACCAGAAACTCGTTCTTCAACGAAGTAATAGAATTTATGTTCTCGTTGTCGGGCACTCGGTGATCAGTTGCCGGGAAGGTTTGGTTACCAATTCTCAGTGGTCCTAATGAGGTGAACGATTGAAATAGTTTCCCATTTCATTTTACAACCGACGATGACCAAAAGTAGAAGCCTTATTTCTACTGAATTACGCTAATCAAAAAGGAAACTGATAGTTTGCTGTTTTTCATAGCTGTTGTAATACTCTGATTAATTTGTGGCGGTGCGCAGTTTGTGGCCACGCCTAGTTTTCAGAAATGTGTGGTTTTTGCTTGTGAGAGAAATTAGAGCGTACGAAGTGGTTCGCAGTGGATGCCGCATCCGGTACCAAGTTGGGCGTAATTTGATCCTGTTTGTGAACAAAAAAGTTATCTTTTACGCAAATGCAAGCATAAAACTGTACCTGTTCTCTGGACTATTCTTGTACTGTTATTTCACTTGGAAAGTTTATTTAACGCCTCTATATGCGTTAAATTCCAAGGAGGGGCCACATTTAAAGCAGCGTCCATTATTCAGCGGTTAACACGGAACAACGGTGCCAGAATTTTTGTAGTGTCTAATTTCGGGTCTTGGCTCTTGGCTCTTGGTTTCTTCAGACTGTCCTGGATTTCGGATGGTGCTTCATCATGGGTGACACCAAAGGGTACTGCCAATTCTGGGAAGGTAGATAAGTTTGGGCAGCATCTTGTTATGCCTTAGATATGGGTGGGCGATAAGCTTCGGTTCCCATCCTGGGTTTCAGTAGCTTTTTTTGTCTAGTAACACCTAATAAATAGGAAAATCTATTGAATCGTTCACGTATTGTCGCAATATGCTCGACAAGAATACGTCTCGATAACGTTCAATGAAAATGTTGGACCACACTTAATTGACCTCTATTTCTTCACTGTTAAGCTCAGTGATGTCAAACAGGGAATTTTATTAACAAAGTGTTTGGAATCAGGGCTATAGTCAAATCGTTCAAACATAACTAAATTTTGTTTTGTTTTTTTGTTTCATTGATTTGCTTGGTGCTTGGACACAATTCCCTATTGACATACTACTAGGTGGGGGGAAAGGGGGGGAAAAAAACATTTATATATCCCTTGAATTCCTGAACCCTCCTTAGAAATTATGATGATACTTATCATGATGTTCTCATAACAAGCAGAATGTTGGTAAATTTTTGCATTGATGTTCATTCAAATAAATGGAAACATGTTTTGATTACTCTACAGTTTTATTGCATTATTGTAACTATCTGTAGCTTATTTCACACTGTTTTTTGGTTCAATTTTCCTATGTCCTCCCCCTCTTCTTTATAAGATACAGAGCTCCAAACTATCCATTCTTATCCACCCCCAAAAAGTGTTTGTGAAGTTTTAACCCTTTAACCCCTAGGAGTGACCAGCTGCCAATTTCTCCTTACAATATCACTTCTGAATCAAACATTAAGGTCATGAGAATAAAGGAAATGATCTTCAACTTATTAAGCTCTTGATTTTTAAACAAATTCTCCTTGTCAGTGCTTCAGGAAATGTATAGAGCATGGAGAATATGCATACTGATGTTAGGGTATAAAGGGTTAAAGGCCCAGACATCTTTTAGTCTATGTTAACATTATCATTATTGTTATCATTTTCATTACCGATTATGTCATCATATAAACTTCTCCATTTTTCCCAACATTTTTTCAACAAATCAGGGGTACCATTTATCTGCAAGTATATCTGGAAATTGTGCTGTTAATTTGCATAAATTAAAATTTTGTCTGGAGTGTATACCAAACTAATGAGAACTTTATAAAAATATAAAGCAACTTTCTAAGACTCCAATGGTAATTTATTTGGATTACTTTTCAAAAACTTTTCCAAGATTTGAGTCACAAGCTAAGGGTGTGGCTTATCTGTGAGTGCAACTTATGTGCTGGTGTTTGTGGTATTATCATTGACATCATCTTATGTAAGTGAATCAAAAAGGGACAACACATATCTAGCCTTGGCTTGAATAAAGAACATCGCACACACTTGTTATGCTGGCCCAAAGAAGTATCCAGGCAAATTAAGTTGTCTCAAGGCAAGACCTTGAAGAAGGCAAAAAATTGCTTGTGTGTGTGGATAGCTACAGTGGATAACCAATGTTCTAACTGAGTCAAAGTAGACTGAGGAAGATTAGTATTGGTCTTTGTGGTCTCATGTCAGTTTCTTTGCTTTCTTTCAAATAAATTTAATTTCAAACAGTTTTTATTTTGCAACACCAAGGGGGTGGACAGGATTTTTCTGTAAGAGGTTATGGAAATATTCGATGAACATATCATACCACACCTAATCAACCCCCATTTCTTGACTGTATAGCTAAAAGTGATTGGAATCAGGGCTATACTCAAAGCAAACTATAGATTCCTCACATTAAAAACCATTCAAATGCAATCATTCTATTTGATATTTTTTTTTCATTGATTTGCTTGGACACAATTGCCTAATGACATTCTACTGGGGTAAAGAAAAATGTAGATATTTCTCTTGAATTCCTTAACCCTTCTCACAAATTATGATGATATTCATGATGATACTCTCATAACATGCAGTGTTGGTATATTTTTCCATTGCTGTTAAATCAAATAATTTTAATCTCAAACAGTTTTTATTTTGCAACACCAACAGGGTGGACAGGATTTTATAAAAAAGGTCTAAACTCGCACACAATAGCATGCTATTATGTGTCATTATTGATGTTATTACAAATAATCTCCGTTCATGAAAAAGAGGGGGGTGGAGTGGAGTGAAGTGACCTGTACACCCTCAGCCCTGTCCATACAAATACAACTTTGCTTTTCACCCTTTCTTATCATCCTGTTAATCTTTGAGGGCTGCAAAGATGGTAAATATAAGGGTTAAGATGAGTTCATATTTTGATAACCTATTGTTAGTACTATAATGCAGGCCACAGAAAATGCAGTAACTGTGTTCTTTATTGATTATGTGTTTAGTCAAATGGGAGTGTTTATTATAAGTATTTTTTTCCAAGAGGAGGACAAATTTTGATCACTGTTGATGGCATTGTTGTTACAATTGTGTGAGGAACTAGAGTAAAAAATCAAATGAGAGTTATTACTGATAAGAAATGAAAAACAATGTTGCCTCATTTCCTAATTATCTTTTCATGGAAGGTCCCTTTATATCAGTCTCCATCAGTAAGTTTATTTGAGTTGGACAAAAGTAAGTACAATTTCTGAGATCAAAACATCTACACCAATGTTTCCAACATCATGTCCAGTGACATGTAACTGAACTACTCTGCTTCTGGTTTCACCAAACGGCCCATGAACAAAATTGCACCAGTTTTTTTGTGACAAATCATGAATAGGAATGGGTGATCAGCGCAGAAGATGGGATTTAGCAAAGCCATTCGACCCATCATGACCACCGCTGTAGCTGCCGCAGCCTCTGTACCCTTCTCATTCACCTCCACAAATGCTTTGTGAATAACATGGGACACATAGAGCTTCTCTAGACCCAGGCTGATGCCTGAGAAATCAGCCTTGAATTCACTGAACATATCTGTTGCCCCCATCTTTTCCAGGACGTTGTTCAGAAGAAACTGCTGCGTCAGCCTAAATCTTGGCAAGGACACCTCTACCTTGTGGGGGCGTGACTTTGTTACAGACTGAAGAGCCTTATGTAGGTTGTAGTGGGTAAGGCCTTCCTCTAACTTGGCTAGGCCATTGATATCATGGGGAAGTAGCAGCACCATGGAGAGGCCCTCTCCTTGGTAAGGCAGCTCAAGAACTTGACATCCCAGATCTCCATCATCTTCAACATGTTTGAACTTTTTTGTAACATGCATCATTTTTACTTCTACCTTTTCACCATCCGAGACAAAGAACTGCTGAGGGTAAGTCGCCTCTTCATCAAACTGGTTTTGCCATAATCCTTTGAAGTAAATTGCATTGACCAAGGTCAACCGGGTACGTGTGGTAAACACTCCCTCACCGATTATATTCTTGATCTTCTGTTCTGTTTTTTCCTCTACCCACTGGTTCACCTCCTTTCTTGCGCCTTCGTTATCATTTTGGTAGTCGACCAGAGCTGTCTCGGCACCATAGAACTTTTTTGTGCCTTCTACGAACTCTTCTACCAGGCTAAAATTCTTCTGAACAAATAGACGATTTGCAGGCAGGAGTTGGTTGCTGGTGGTGTTTGATGCTTGGAGAGCTTCTAAAAAGTGTTTCTGTTCAGTGTGGAGTTGCTCCTGTGGCAATGCGTCCCATTTAAGAGCCTTGGCCATCTGCCCAGCTGTGTTGCCCTTTGCTCCGAGGTAAGTCATAGCAAGTGCAATACTCAAACTACTCGGTGAATAAAAGAGGTTTTTGCCGATGAATTTCTGATCATTTTTCAGAGCTTTGTGGACTTCCACGGTGAACTTGTTATTTGCTTCGATTACAGCTTCCATTTTGATAATCGTTTCGCTCTTAAGTGAATAAAACGTTGCCAATAATGCGTAAATCTTTCCGAAGGAGTGGAGGAGCTTTTAATTGCGGTAAACATGCCTGATTCAGCCAATCAGAGCGATATTTTCTTTTGTCACGCGTCACGTATTACATCTAATGGCAGCGAATCAGTAAGCAAAGATGATGTCTACAGCATTTTATGTTTTGTTCCTCCTCTTACTGCTGAACGGTTTAAATTCAGTGAACTCCGATCAAAATGAAGGTAAACATGAAGGAAATATCATAGAAACCATTAATGATTTCGGTTTCGATCTGTTAAAGATTTTCGATCAAGACAAGGAAATGAAAGGCATCAATTTGTTCTACTCTCCGACAAGCATCGCGGTTGCTTTAGCAATGGTGTTTCTGGGGAGTAGGGGAAACACAGCTGATGAAATAGCTAAGGCAATGAAGTGGTACGCTTATGAATCTGAAGACGTTCATTTGACATTGAAATCGTTAATGGAAGCAATTGCAGAGTCTGAACATGCAAACCTCGAGCTGAAGATCGCCAATCGATTATGGGGACATGAATACCTACACGAAACTGCAGAATATAAAGAGAGTATCTTGGCCTTTTATAATACTCCAATTGCAAAAGTCGACTTCAAAGAGGGTTCTGAAAGAGCGAGAGAGGAGATAAATCAGTGGGTTGAAAAAAATACCGGAAGGAAAATTAAGGATTTTCTGCCTCCGGGGTCTGTGACTGAAGATACTAGAGTGGCATTAATTAATGCAATTTATTTTCAGGGTACTTGGCTTCATGCTTTTGATCGGGAAAAAACACATCATGCACCATTTCACACTGTTGGTGATGGTGAGCGGGTTCTCGAAGTTTCAATGATGACAAAAACTTCAAGACAAAGTTACCACGTTGATGAAGAACACAACTGCCAAATACTGGAGCTTCCGTATGATGGCGATGATATTTCCATGTTGATCGCCCTTCCAAATGACATCCTTGGAATTTCAAGCATCGAACAGCTGATAAACACTGAGTTGATGGATAAATGGATTATGTCTTTTGTCAAAACCACCGTTAAAGTATCAATTCCCAGGTTTATCCTAAGTCAGCATTTTGAATTAAAGAAGACTCTGAGTAAACTTGGCATCAGTGACGTGTTTGAGGCAGGCATTGCAGACTTGTCCGGGCTGAGTTCTGTGGAAAGCTTATATGTATCGCATGTGATACACAAGGCACAGGTCCATGTGAATGAGAAGGGAACTGAAGCTGCTGCAGCATCTGGGGTGATCATGCAAAAGAGATCTGTAGAAATATATCCTGAATTTTATGCTGATCACCCATTTCTGTTTATAATTTACCACAAATCTACAAGAGCTGTTTTATTTATTGGTCGGGTTACAAGACCAGAGATAGCAGAGCAAGGACATTTTACTGCTGAAACTAAAGAGAAACCTAACACAAGGCATTATAATGATGAGCTGTAAGTTAACCCTATCAGTTAGATTTAACACCAAATTCTCACAGCTACAATCATAAGAAACGCAAAGAAGACAGATAGGAGAATTTGTATTGAGATCATAGGAGTGAAAGGGTTAAGTTACATGTTAAAAAGGAAGACAATTTTAAGTAAGTATGTACCATAAAATCAGAATCATGTGTTCCAGAGGTAGTCTTTATCTCTGCTTGTGACCCATAAGGGATCAAACCTCAGACATTCTGGATTATACATGAACTTTGTAATGGGCCTTGCTCACTATAGAGTCTCTGTGGCTTAGTGGTAGAGCATCAGAGCACTGAATCTGAAGGTCTGAGGTTTGATTCCTGATGATTATACAAATAATTTTCTCTTTTCCTCACACTCATGAAAATAATATTGCACTATTGATGGAATATTGGTCAACTGTTACCTGCCTACTGACCAACTATTGCCTGACATATTCATCACCTGTTGGATCTACCTATCAGACAATGGTTTCCCAAGGCTACTTAAAGGATATGCAACCTTAAAATCATGTATGTGGGCTCTAAATTGATTCAATCTCACTGGAGGTTTTGGATGGAGAAGTGGCCCTTGGGAAGGGCAGAGAATGAGCTAAGAACAAGATGTATTAACCCTTTCACTCCCACAAGTGACCAAGACAGACTTTCTCCTTACAACATCAATACAATATCAAGCAGGCAGGTGATGAGAATAGAGAAGAATATCAATCATGGGATTATTAGTTGATCCAATACCAATTTCTCTGAACTAACATCATAAGAATTGTATGGCAGATAGTAAGGAGAATTACTAATCAGATCTTGGGAGTGAAAGGGTTAAAGCGTTGTTCTTTAGATTAAAGAAGCTTAGAAATGGACTGGTTCATAAGATTTCACAATAAAATAAAACTGTCTGCACAACAGCAAAGTGGCCTATTGTAGTGAAGCTAAACCAGGCTTTTGCAACTTGAAGTGACTGGAGGTTCTGCTACTTTACTTGGCTTGGAAGCTGGTTCACTTTTAATTAGTAGATGAGATAATTAACAATTATTTACTGAAATGGAGGTAAATATCCACCACTTTCACCGACACAGTGGTAAAAAAATTGTTCTAGTAAATACCACTCAGAAACAAAAAAAAAATAGCTTATTTCTGACAATAAACCCAAAAAAATGGTTGGAAATTAAATTGTTGGTGCACAGTTTTGTCCTTTTGGCTGTTGAGGTTAGTAGTTCTTGGTAATCACTTCCACACCAATCAATTAGTGTAAATATTGTGGTTCAATTTTATCCTTGGTTCAAATTTTATTTTCCTTTGTTTTTGGATATTGCAATGGAGGATAATGAGTTTGAAACAAAATAATTAACCTGTGTGGCATTTATTAAATAAGATAACTTTATTTACTGTAAATAAGATACTAACCTGCTGGGCCAGTTTACAGGTTTTTCACAACATAAAAATTTATCAAATAATTATGATGATGATACAAATTATGTCTACTTCAACAAAACTTTATTTAAAATCACAACTTCTCAACCACCCCCAAAAAACATACAATGGTCCTTCCTTAAAATTATCAATCAAAGCTTAGAAGCTAATCTTTCCTATGTGCTTGAGAACTTACTGACTGTTATTGCCAGTACATACTTCATCTGGAAGCAAGTTCCATTTTTTAACTACAAAATATCTGGAAATTCTCATTGTTTCATCAGATTTCTCTGACAATACAGTGACATCAATTTATTCTCTTGATTGGATAAAGGCAATGTACAAGTAGTGTCTTGCTCAATTACAATACTGTTACAACTCCTTACAATACTGTTTTCAATGCATTCACAAGTACACCACCATTATATCTCCTTCAGAATTGTACATCACTTTGGAAAATTCATTTCCATACAGACTTTCATAGTCTTGTTACAGCTTGGTCATAGCAAAGGCAAAAAAAATTTAAAAGGCTTTATGATTAAACTTCCTGTAGGTCTCTCAAATTGCTCTATTGTTGAAGGCCAGGCAACAGAAATCAAGTATATATCTCATAATTAAAAAAGAGGTCATAATGATAATCTTTTTGAAAAGTATTTTAAAAGTAGTAAATGTCTGACTTTCTGAGGGGCTCCCCTAAATTTGAACAGGGCTTCAACAAAAAACAGTAACCCCAGTCTACCACGGTCTCTAAGACCCTTTACCACCGTTGGTTTAGCATGCCCCTTCACCCCCTAAGGGAAAGGGGCCTTGTGGCCCATACATGAGAACAGCCTCCTATGACTCCAACTTTAGCTACTTATGGAAGAAGTTATTGAAACCTTTGATTGAGCTAAAGAGACTCTATGGTGAGCGAAGCCCATTACGAAGTTCATATATGAGACGCGTCCTGCATACTGATAGGATCAGCAGTAATGCTCAGTGGTAGAGTATCGGAGCGCGGAATCCCTAGGTCTAATGGTCGATTCCTTATTCCTTATGGGAAAATTTTTTCTTTATGTCAAGACGAAAAAACATCTTTCTCCATTTCTTTACCGAGCACAAAACTTACCATCTTTGTTAATCTATTTACTAATCTAGTGTTGTAATTGTCAAGCTGAGGGGGAAGTATGGATCTCTATATAAGTTCTCAATTGAATTGAGAGCAAAGTTTTTGGCGGGTTAGCACCTTATGATATTTGACATCAAAGGCCTTTCCTTTGGGCTTTTGAAAATCACTGCACCAAAATGTATCCCATGGTCTTGATGATTTTGACACCATTGTCTGGTGCATGAGATGCCACATTACCACACGTGTTTGTGTCGTCACTATACCCCCCAGTGCCCAGTCCCAATCTGCTGTCACAGCTGTTGCAGTCATTCTGTTCATTGTTTGTGATACCAATTCTTGCTTTAGAATGCTGAATATTACTACCAACGGCATTGAATCCCTCTTTATTGCAGTTTGACTGCAGGGAGGCTTGTGATCCAATCAGTGTCTTCCACGTGTCACGACCCAGTGAGGTGGCTCGGTATTGCCCGTCTGCGATGAGAGAGTGCAGAGAGTCAGCCTGCTTGTTGACGACTAAGAAATTGGTCACATTACCGACTTTCATTCCAAGACAGATCTTGGAGAAAGATGTGTTCCAATAGGTCGGCAACTTGGTCTCTTGTGAGTCAAACCCAGTTCTCCCGGCGAGAGGGTTGTATTCATTTTTGTTGCTCCAATAGGCGGAGTCGTAATGGAAGGTTCTCTGCTCAAGGATAGAAATAAAGGTAGGATCCAAGTAAGAGAGTATGTCCTCCACAGAGGCTTTATCATTTAGTTAATAACTCTTAAATTGTTTTTAAACCTTTACCGATGGAGGAAATCTTAGATGCTCAATGAAAAGCCAATCCTGTGTCGCGAATTACGCTCAATGGGCATCCCTGGTGGCGTTTTTTTTTCTCCGCTAAAACATTCCCAGCTATTATTGATGTGCATGTAACATAGTTTCGAGGAGAACAGATATCTAGAGACATTGATATAAACCCTAGCGAAAATATATCTTTGGAATGAGTCCTATAGAAAGCGTTTAGTCTCATGGCCTGATTCTCTGTCCACGAATGAAAGGAGTATAATCTAAACGACTTCAATCAGTGTCAAAAGTCTTGGAACGCTCTGCTGATTTGCTACCCAGTTTTTATCGGTATTTGCCTTCTTCTCCCTGTCCTCGAAAACTGCAATAGTAGCTTTTTGTTATCTAACATTTTGGCTGAATTTGAGCATTATCTGCACTGATGTGGCTCAGTTTTATAACTGACTAAGTAATTATAAAATCAAAGGACATGGTCAAGTTCAAGGGGATATAAACTATTCCGTAGGCAAGGTACGTTGCAAGTACTTTTGCCGTTAAAAATAGGTCGAGCAGTATCAGCCAATGAGTAGGCATTGTCCAATTTATTGATTAATTAATTAAAGTACGACGATGAAGGAATAAACTCACACTTAACCCTTTAACCCCCAGGAGTGACAAGTATCTAATTCTCCTTACAATGTTACCACTGAATCACACAGTAAACGTCATGAGAATAAAGGAAATGATCATCAACCAAAGAAACTCTTAATCGTTAGACAAGTTCTCCTTGTAAGCACGTTAGATAATGTACAGAGAACAGTACGGAGGATATGAAAACTGATGTTAGGATGTAAAGTGTTAAACATTGCTCGAGACAAACCTTGTTTCCGTCAATTTTCATGACCGGGGTCCATCCTCCATCTCCGCACCCAAAATCTCCCATATGACAGAGAACTGTGGTGTTTTTTGCGTCAATGTCTAAGACGACCAGATGACTTGCATCTGACATGCTTTATGTAATATGGAAAAAAAAAGCTTAGCTTTTGCCAGTTTACAAGTGTTTTACAAAAAAAATACAGTAATCAAAACAAAAGATTAAATTTGAATTTACAACCTATAAAATTTCCAACAAGTATTTACACTGTGGTAAAAACTATGAACCCGAATCTGCTTGGAAATTACCATTAAACAACTTTATTCAAACAGACACGTAGCAATTCATTAAAAAAGTTCTCACAAATTTACATTTTCATCTTTTAAATCAGTTCGATGAGAAAAGATGAATTCAAAATAAAAATATAAGTGATGAGTTACAGATCCGAAGCTGCACTTTTAACCCTTTGGTACAGACAAATCACTCTTTTGTCGAAAGAAATAATATCTAATATACAACAATCACACTTAGCTCTTAATGAAGTCAACTTAAACTTACCTGTGTAGATTATACGCTTCCTTGCACGACTTCGGCTCAGCATTTGCTAAAAAATTACCAAATTAGATTCGTTAAAATACTCCGATAAGCTTAAGTCATTCACGTATACTTGGTATACGTTGGTTAAAAGATGAATTTATATTTTACCCGTGAATCTCGCGATACTCTAAATTCATTTAGTTTGTTTATTAACAAAGATTTATAACCTTCGTGTGCAGCCATAATTCTGCTCATTAAACCTTTTGTTTAGTGATGTTCCCGTTGCCGTTGCTGTCATGGTTTTCTAAAGCTCCCTATTATCAGTGTTATTCCCAGTGTCCTTGTCGTTGTAAATGTCATTGTCATTTTCAGCGTCAATCATTTTGAGTCATTGTCATTTTCATTCATTTTCATCGTCATTGTTATTATCATTATCAATGTCACAGTCATTGTCAATGTTCAAATGTCAATGTCGATTTCATCGTCATCGTCATCGTCATTGGCATCGTCATCGTCATCGTCCTTGGCATGGTCATGGTCATGGTCATGGTCATTGTCATCGTCGTGCTCATTGCCATCGTCATTGACATTGTCATCGTCGAGGTCATTGCCATCGTCATCGTCATCGTTTTCGTCATTGTCATCGTCATGGTCATCGTCATTGTCTTCGTCATTGTCATCGTCATGGTCATGGTCATGGTCATGGTCATCGTCATTGTCATTGCCATCGTCATCGTCATCGTCATCGTCATCGTCATTGTCATCGTCGTGGTCATTGCCATCGTCATCGTCATCGTCATCGCCATCGTCATGGTCTGTCATTATCATCGTCGTGGTCATCGTCATCGTTATGGTCATTGTCAACAGCGCGGATACTGTGGTGAAAATGTACCTGTTTGACAATATTCTCCCATATAACCTTCTTTACAGAGGCATTCAAATGAACCGTCGTTGTAGTTTGCGAAGCAGAGAGCTTCGTTTTGGCATGGTGAAGATGAACAAGGCGACTGCAAAAAGATAAGGCAGGAAAAATTGTGTAACAAATTATTTAAGATGTACGAAGAGAAAATGGCAAATCCACTAAAATATTATTAACAATTATTAGACGAGGCTGGACAAAATATCGGTGAGTAGGTGAATTGTTTGCTCAGGCCTTCGGTTTGGAAAATAATTGATCACGAGACGAATTACGCGAGCTCAAAATTTGTTTAATCATTCAATTGCCGAGGTTTTTTGTAAAAATAATTTATGATAATCACTCTCTGACAGCCTCAGGTAAGGAGCTCTTGATCAATGAAAAGGAATTGAAGGAAAAGATTTATCCAACTATAAAACAGATTTTCAGATATCAATAATAACAATATTAAGAATATTTATGATGACGATGACGGTGATAGTAGTGACATTGATACATTCATGATCAGAGGAGTAGGACAAAAGAGATGAAGTGATTGGTTTCTGTGTCTCTCACCTTGATGGCAAAATGATGCGAGCTCTCATTTCTTTTGAACTCTGTGGAGTTTCTGTGTCGATCAGAAGACAACAACTCGCACCAAAGTTTTCCATGGACTCCTTTGGAGGCGGCCAGATTCACAGAAAAACACAGCAGATTGCTAAGACATTCAAACGTACAGTCAAACGCATCTGACACTGCTATTGCTCCAACTCGAGGCACATCCAGACAGTGGAATTCATACTTAATAAATTCGTGCTGTCGAAAAGTTTGTGTGGTGGAAGTGATCCCCCTATGGTACAGCTGGATGTTTGACTCTGCAGCGAACAGAAACAAAACACACATCAAATATATATAATATGATTTATTTCGTATTTTATTTTGCGATCAGATTCCTTTACGCGGAGTAAAAAGAACCCAATCGAATTTGCTTCGCTCCCCACAAGTGGGTTTGTGATTCAGTTGGTAGTGGCACGGTAATCATGTACTTGGAGGTCCTCCCTCCCTTCCCTTCGAAAGTTCACCTCATTCTATTCCCCCCCCCCCCACCCCCACCTTGACGAGTTCGTCCTCATCAAGTATAGCAAGTTCGCTTTCTTGATTAATTTTGTATTCTTCCGTGATACCTTGATGCTCACGCAAACCAAAGTCAACATTTGTTAATGTACCAGCTGAAAATTGATTTCAACTTTTTCCTCAAAGCTCATAAATATTTCCTTGTTTGATATTGCTATATTAAGGTCCAATGACTGTTCATCATTTTACCACATCGCACAAGGAGTCGCCGAAACATTTCTTCTGAGTAAAAAATGATGTTGATATCAAATACTGTTATCTAGCTAATCAGAGACCCTCTATGTTCATTTCGCCTTCATTCCAAAACTTTTTTGAATGAAACAATCAAAATAAATCCAATAAATGTTTTTCTCTCCCGTCTATATCTCTCTCTAAGATATATTCTTTCAATGTACGTGTTAAGATCGGAACGAAAGCGAAAATTCCGGCAGATTTTTTCTTCTTTCTTCCAGTAAGGATCAGTATCACCGCGATACAATTGAATTGCATCCCCTACTTGTTACACCAAACAGTCTAACGCCCCATTCACACCAGCAAAACATGTTCTTTTAAAGCAATTAGATGCTGAAAAACTTAAGTTTACGACAAATCATCAAACGTCAGTTTCAGCAACTTCAATGAAGAAAGCAAAACGGTTTTTTAGGGTATAAGTGTGAATAGGGGATAGAAGATTCCGAGACAGGAAGTTGTAAATGAATAGTAAACAGCAGAACGGTAAAAAACTTGAAATCGTTTTGTTAACTATTGCACATAACACAAAAAAATTGCTTTTGGTCCGGGAAAGAGCTGAGTAAAAATGCAGTGATTATAAGAACTGAAATGAGCAAGACTTAAGCAATGAGACTATAGCAATGAATGCAGATGTTAGGGAAAATGAAGGAAGTCTTAAAAGCATAGAGCAAATGGCTAATATTGGAATAATTTATGGACTGAGTCAAAACTAACCTTGAGAAGAAGCTACCTCTTGCATCAGAGCAAACGAAATAAATAACACGAGGCCAGTGATAACATCACACATGACAAAAGAAGGTGAATTCCCTTAACTGAAAAAAAGACTTTCTGCTTTCGGTTAAAGGACCTAATTGATAAGAGGTTCAACAGTTCTTGAGCTAGCTCCATTAAGGATATAATTAACTGTCTAATAGAATTCCAGCTCGCCGCTTCGGCGCCTGATAAATATTTGTGTTACAGGTACTAATGAAAATGACTGTTAATTATGTTATTCAGGTCTCCCATTAAAAAAGTTTTGTTCGTATTGTCCGTATACCCACTTCAATTAAAAAATTTCCTTAACATCGGTCCAAAGGAAATGTTTTGAATAAAGAGCATTTGTGGGTAGTTCAACTTATAAAAGAGATTGTGATGGAAAAATTGTCTTATAATTGATGGAGAGTTGTTCCCACCTGTACGATATAGTGTTTTCGACAGCTGTCGATCACAGTGTTCGGGATACCCTTGCGGTAAAAAGAGAAAGGGGTCTTCAGTAGTCGGATTTTATATGTATGTTGATTAAATATCGTTAAGCATAAACAGCACAGACATTTCTTCGATCTTCAACGCTAAGCAACATGCATCACAAAAGATATTTCTCATCAGTAAGGTGGAGGAGGTATATCTTGGGTGTGAAAGTTTAATAATGAATAACAAGTTTAATGGAGATATTAAAAATTAACATTTAGGCTTGAAAACTCCGGAATAATGATTAACAGGATTATATATTTAGAATACAAGGTTTGATAAAAAATTCCCTAACTTTTTGTTCTTTATGACACTAGGTTGTTCCCAAATCGGCCTCTCTATCGCGTCAAAGTATCACTCGCAGGAAACTAGTCTCATTATGATACTTGCGATGTCATCTCCAAATGTGTCAAAATTAAAATTATCTTAGGTAGGGAAAATTCTCTTTGCACTGAAGGAAATGCGAATGATGGGAAACCCTCAAGAATTCTGAACGAATAATTTGAGAACATTTTCAAGGAGTGATGAATAATCCGGGTCAAATTGGTCAGCTTCCATCCCTGATTATGTCACAACGATTTGAGTAATTTGGGCGCGCAGATGCAAAGAGGGGTTCTTGTACTGATAAGAGAGTCTTAATGGGTTAACCATTAGCCGTAAAAGCCATCACCCCACTGAAACCCTCTGATAAACTAAAGGGAGAAGTTATAATTTTGCTTCGTTTTTTGGTTTAATTAGGAGCGATTTAATAAAAGATTTTGAAATGAGGTCCAACCGTTAGAGTGATAATCGCGTATTAATAAATTTCATCAGTTTTTTTTTTTTCGTTTCAGAGTATTTCCTTTATCTCGGTACCGTTTCTTAAATGCACTTAATGCTATTTGTTTTTCTTAAATGCCAATTTATCACAAACATTGCCTTATTTTTCCTTTTGAGGATTTATTTGCGGGCTAAGCGTGCAAACAAAACTCCGTGCCAAATCTGTGACGTATCGGTCGATTATTGGCTAAACTTGTTAATCCATATTCATCAAAAATTGTAGAATTTTCAGCAAACCACGCTGTCAGTCGAAGAGCGAAGACTTATCGTCCTATGAGCTGAGATTAAAGTTGCACTTTGCGAGGAAGGAGACGCTCAAGCTGTTCAGAAAAGCAACTCGGAGCAGTGTTCTCTCACTAAAGTAGAAGGTAAGCAATGTTATGGAAAATTTTGCCTATAAAACTATTTCACAAAGCTGAATGAGTCTTAATATCTTAGTTAAGCGAATCAATACTCGTCAGGTGTTTGCTCGAGCGGTCCTTCCAGTCGAAGTTCTGCCGGTCTCTGTAGACGTAGAGAAGTTCATTAATACCATATTTTGGTCGAAGGCTTAAGACTTTACCAATATTGGCTCATGTATTAGGGACGTCGTTTTGTAGTTGAACGCGCCCTCGTGAATTTTAAAAGAGACTTGTTTGCAAAACCTTTTCCCTAAAGAATTCAAAAGAACCGTGAAGGATAAAGTTTAGAAAGCATATCGTTCTAAGCAGTGTTTTGTAATCTTCATGGAGAATTTAAACAGACGAAGCACCTGACGACATAAATGTTTTATATTTTCAGGAAGAGGATTGTTAGAAGGATTGAATGATAAAAAATGGCCTAGAGGAAAGAATGGAATCATCAAATAATAATGAAGACACTGCAAAGATAAGAATTTTGAAAATTTCCATAACGCTAGCAAAAGTGGTGGCTGTTTAATTTCCTTGATTTGAATCACAAGTATGTCTTAGTTGATGTAGCAAAAAAGATTATATTTAAGGTGGCACTGTAACAAAATACCTCAGACAAAGGCCAAATGAATTTCCAAATGTCAAATCTTGAGATAATGGATGCAGTTTTGCTTGCAGTGACTGACTTTTTGAAAACCTGGTTACCCGGTAACATCAACGATATACTGACAAATCAGATATACGGACCGTCCGTCCGACTTGGCTTTGCTGCTTTCACTCGGATCGACGAAACGTTTTAGTTGCTGAAACCAGCGACATTCCTTTTACTGCAGAACTACCCTCCTTCGGATGATCATCCGACAGAAAAAAAAAATTTTTTAAGCATTTAAAAAAAGCTTTTATTTTTATTTCTTTTTCGATATTAAAAGGGTATCATGAACTTCTGGAAACTTCTGACCAAACGAAAATTTCATATTTGACTTGAACTGGAAAAACGAGATATCTATGTTCGAGAAAGAATCATTTCAGTCTGGTTAAAATTGAAACAAAAACCAAAACAGTGCCATCTTAAAAACTTGCATCTACTACTTTGTTCCATCAACTGAGGTTAGAAAGAATCAGTTTGCAAGAGGACAATGGTTTTAACATAAAAACTAGATTTTAAAATATTTTAAGCAATTGTGCTTTTTGTTAAGGTCTATATCATTATAGTTTTCCTTTTCTTTTTCACGATAACCTATTCTCCAATGTCCTCTTGTCGTTTTCAAAGCTACATGTTAAAAACTCACATGCCGGTCACTTTGCTTCAAAAAGCCCGATTAAGATAAAACGCATTGTTACATAAACCAGTTTAGACGAGCTCCGTTTTATCTTTAGAAGCGATTCTGCTCAACGATAACTTTTTTTGAAACTCTTAGAAGAATGGCTAAGATCTGATGAAGAGCAATTTAAGCTTTAAGCTTATCAGTTAGTAAGAAAAAAAGGAACGAGGTCATTATCGAGCATCAATCGTTAGTAGGCCGTACGAATTAATATCGATTTTCTTCTCCTGCCGACGAAATTGTAGACTACCTTTAGGACTACAAAGCTTTGTTTTGGGTAAGAATAGTATGGGTTACACGGAAATTTTCTTGGGTTTTTATTACACATTATTCGCGCGCGAAATTAACAACTTTTAATCAATTTTCAATTGAAAAAGACAAACAGAGAAATGAAATTCATACGGAACTATGTAATTTTGATCAAAATGGCAAGTTGTTCATGAAAAACGCGATTATTTTGGAAAACTTGCAACTAAAAGTGCAAGTTAGTAAGTTAGTTTATTCAGAATGAAAAAAGCTTCTATGTCAAGATCATGATATTTCACTAGCTCGTGTTTACTGGTTTATGTAAGGTTATCTTCTTAATTGGCGCTTTTACTGGTCAACTTGTAAGTTGTGTTGAACTTGTCATAACAAGTCCCTAGTTATTCTTTGGACCAGGCATTTAGTTTTAAAATGTAACTTATATAGTTCATTTACTTCAAAAGTGGAAGGAAGATCTTTCGTGCAGTCATTCATTGTAACACAGGAGTACAGAGAAAAACAACTTTGCGACAAAGATAGTGGTTTTGATCCTCAAATTATTAAATTTCTAGATATAATCCCAATTACAAAGATTTTAACAAATAGTGAAGACAAAATCAAACATTGAAGGCGAATTTTACAAATGAACAATCTTAAAGCTTTTCAGCCAAAACAAGTCTACATACCTTGCTTAAAGAATAACTCAATTAGAATTGTTTGCTCCTTCAATTGACACTGAAATGTTTCAAATTTATTTGGAAATTCAGCCTCAAGTGCTTTGAGTCTAATTACGAAAGTTCTCCGAGAGCTGATATAATTTCAATTCTCATTATTTCAGAATTTAATTTTTAAAGCTTGCAGGGTAGCTTTTAGTTCTCAAATAAAGATTTACTTCACGAAATTCAACCAACTTCGGAAAAATAGTTAGCTTTTGTGGCTAAAACCAAGGGAAATCTATTTTCTGTCACAACCACCAACGACGAAGATCAAAATCATTCATAATGTTTTAATCATTTCTCCTGTGTTACATTTGAAAACTGACTGCTTTGAAGATCTTAAAAAATGACAAAGCATCATATGCATGGCAGGTCTTATGTCTAAAAAAAAAAGTGATTGGATTTCATCAAAACATCAAAAACAATTCATTATTTCAACAATAAATTCTGATTGTACCATTAATCAGTACCTTTGCCTTGCCATGATGCTTTTCCGTTTCAAACTCCTAAAAATACTCTCGTGTGATAAATCTCAGTCCAAAATACTCAGAAAGAGTTTTGCAGAATTGATGCAAATATCATGACAGAAAAATCACCACCAAGTTTTTTTTAGAGGTGATGTACGAATATCTTTTGGCGGGAAACTTTACATAATACTTTGTTAAATTTTTTTGTCGAAAACTTGCCAGGGAAACCGCTGTGCAAATTTTTCCAAGTTTTCCCGCCAAAAGTCTTAGTATATATACGAAAAATTTTTCTAGACACCTTTTTAATTTATCGACTTGAAAGGAATAAAAACGATTTGCAATTGCAAGATATAAGCGAGTGGTTTATTGAGTAAAAAAGTGAGACCATAATAGATAACACACAAAAAAGAGTACTTTATTTCATTGAAAAATAAAATATAAAACCATAACTAAATTGAAAATACAGCTAGCTTTGTTACCAAATTTTTAAAAAATTGGCGCATGCGTATTTTGGGCGCCGTATTTTTTCTAAGTCTTTTGGCGGGAAAATTCAACAAATTTGTAAAGATGTTACTTACAGAATCAAAAAGAAAACAACAGTGCACGCGTATTTTTTGTAAGTTTTTCGGCGGGAAAATAAAAATTTTTTTAATAGCCCTTG